CCCCCACCATTGCCATCAGCGGTCCATTCTAGATGTCGATGACTGTTCCACATGGGTTTCGACTTTTTACGCGATGCAAAGGGACGCACGACTTCTATAATTGTATTGTTGCAAAATCGAAACCCTTGTGCATTTTTTCAGAATAAGCTAAAATGAGCCAGAAATTAGATTCAACGCATGATGGTTCTATCATGTTTCGGCGTAACAACAAAATAGCGTAAAATGCATAAAGTGACTAAGCAGAAACTGATGTTCAAGTGAAATGATATGATTGGTCGGCGCAAGTTAAGAGCATTCCACACAAACTTGCATAGTCGCATAAACATATGCATAAAGAAAATCATCCAATCGTAGTTTACGTTTGTCTGTATGACAGAAATGTGATTGGATAATTTTCTTTATGCAATATGGTTATGCGGCTCTGCAAGTTCGTGTGGAATGGCCCTTACGCTTATGCAAGTTACGTCGCATGTGACGGCATCTTTATACGTTATGCAAGAATCTGTGCTCCCCGCTTTACGGTTTCCAACATCGCAACTAGCGCCATCGGTTGGCGGCCTGGAGCAACCGGTAGCACACACACAAGCACAAGCTCGTGCACGTGTGAGGGTATGAGCACAAGAATTGCCGTAATGCCTGTTCTACAATAGGAACAAGTCGCAAGTCGTTAGCCGTAAGAAATTGGCCAATCACAGTTAAGTGTGAGAAGAATAATCGACTGTGATTGGTTAATTTCTTACGACTTATCGCTTACGACTCTATTGTAGAACAGACCTAACGCTTTAGTCCGGATCTACAATAGGTGTTTTATGCCTTATGCCGTAAGAAACTGACCATTTACAGTCGAATCCGAGAAGAATAAGCGACTGTGATTCGCCCATTTCTTATGGCTTAAGGCTTAAAACACTATTGTAGATCCGGGGTTATGGCAGTCTACAACAATACGCGGAGTAAGAAGTAAGAGTAAGAAATTGACCAATCACAGTCGATTATTCTTCTCACATTCGACTGTGATTGGTCAATTTCTTACTCTTACTTCTTACTCCGTGTATTGTAGACGACGCCTCAGACTGCCGTAAAGCGTAAGAGCCCAGACACACACTCTTGCATAGCGCATAATGCATAGTGCATAAGCGAATCAACCAATCAAAATTCTTCTTTTCTATGGAATGAGAGGAAAGGAAAGCTTCTGATTAGTTGATTCGCTTATGCACTATGCGTTATGCGTTATGCAAAAGCTTTTGTCTAGGCCCTTAAGCGGGGAGCATAGACTCTTTCATAACGCATAACACGTAATGCATAAAAAAATGTGCCAATCGAAGTCCTTCATTTCCTTCCTTTCTATGAAATAAAGAACTCTGATTGGTTCAATTTCTTATGCCTCATGTGTTATGCGTTATGCAAGAATCTGTGCTTCCCGCTATACGGCAATCCTTGTGCTCATGGTGGAAATATATAAGGTGAAACAATACGCATAATGGCGGTAGCAATACTGGAAATAGCCAATCAAATATGTCCGAATATGCACTTTCCTACTGCGCATCTATCAGATTGCTTCACCTTGTATATTTCCACCATGCTTGTGCTCATACCCTTTGGTAAATCAATGTAAATATTATAACAGTAAGCTAATTTTCGTCATAAGTAGTGATCGATATTTATATTTATCGAAATAAAATGAGTAAAAATGTTAAAAAAGGAAAAAAAGTTAAAAGTTGCGTTTGGAATTATTATATGAAAGAAGAACTACTAAGTGCAAGATGCAAATTATGTACAAAACTAATTAAACACAGCGGAAACACGACAAATCTGATGCAACATTTGATCAGAAAACATGCTGTTTTTATTAACAGTGAAGAATCAGTTGAAGTAATTGATCTACAGCATGCCTTGAGAACAGAATTACCAGAATCAGATGATCATGATGATCCGAAAGAAGGAACATCGATAATGAATGACGTTGATGTACTGAATACGGATAAAAATGTAATGTTTAATATTAATATTCGAAGGCTACGTTCCAAAACTTCTTCTCCGAGGAAAATTTTACTCGAAATGTATAGTACACGTAATGTATAATATAGAGTAAAATCTTCCTTGGAGAGGAAGTTTCGGAATGTGGCCTAAGCATTAACCAGTTGTTTTTTTCAAATAAGACCTAAAATAGCGACTAATTTGAGATTCCTAAATTAAAGATTGGAAAAGTTAGGTTTAGGTTTAGATTATCAGTTTGGCTGAACTTGCAAGTTTTTTTTTTCAGCCAAAAAGAATAGGTCTATATTTAGCATAAGTATAATTTGCAACTATGTATTATTACGTAACTAATAGGATGAGTTTTTTAATTAATTGATTAATCAATCGCATTGTGTACAAATGTAATTTTGTTCCATAAAAGCTACATTTATGCATAATGCGATTAATCAATAATGAATTAAAAAATTTGTCCATAATACTTAATTACACTTCATATTTTTAAAGTAATTTTGCAGTTTTATGATCTTGAGATAGTTGTACTGTAACAAATAGTTTTTCTTTAAAAAAAAACCACTTTTTAACTAACTAGTTTTAATTCACTTATGATTTATACTCAAATAAATATGGCAGTGCTAATATTTTCAATATTTATCAATTGGATTGTAAATTATGATCTGTTGATTGTATTTGTATATTTTTATAAATTTGTTTCTTCAGATGACAACTAGAAGCTGTCCAAGAAAAGTAATGAAGAATGTAAAGATTGACGAAGCCTTTAAAAAGATAAAATCTTATAAAGGTATTTTAAAGTATTTATGCTTAATTTGAATTTATTTTTCTTTAGATTTTTTAAATTTTGATGGTAAAAATATATAATTTTTAGGTATAAAATATATATTTTTTATTAAAAGTATGGCAAGAGCCAAGATTAATAATTCAATTGAGTTATTTGACTCCACAAATTGAATTGTGATTTCTTAATGAAATTATTTCATTTTAAATTACATTTTGTTTAGACAGCGTGCGCGCGCACGGGGTGATCCCGATTGACCACGGCTCGATTGGACATCACCAATCACAGCGACCGGTGCTTAGGAGCTTTGTAGTCTCAAGCGCTGTGAGTGGCTCGTGTCCAACTGGGTGCCACCCCGCGCGCACGTGTGTGTGTTGTGTGTCATTGTATTTTATAAACCTCTTTTCAATATTTTGAATATAAGCAGATATAAAAATACAAAAACTAAATTTAATTTATATTATGTTCCGTGTAGAAATTTTTAATGGATGTTTAATATAACAAATCAATTATCATGAAAATTTTTCTTTTACAGCAGGTGGAGAAATATCAACTCAGTTAACTAATAGTTTAATGTACATGCTTGCAATTGACATCCTGCCTCTATCAACAGTTGAGCATACTGGCTTTTTGCATTTCTGTAAAAAGGCTGTGCCGCTATATTCTCCACCCAGCAGAAAAACCATTACGAATCTCTTAGATAATAAGTACTCCATGCTTAAAAATGTATACAAAAGTCGTTTCCAAAAACAAAAACATATAACAATTACAACTGATATATGGACAGATGTTTCTGTACAAAGTTATATAGGCGTAACAATTCACTATTTGAAAGACACACGCAAGTTTAAATTTGTAAACACTACAATAGGGGTAATACCTCTAAACGAAAGTCATACTGCGGAATACATAGGTCTCTGCTTGATGCAACTTTGCGAAGATTGGGGAATAAGTATAGATTGCATTACTGCGATTGTTACTGATAATGCAGCAAATATTGTAAAAGCCGTCACTGATACTTTTGGAGAAAAAAAACATCTAAGATGCTTTGCTCATACACTATCACCTATATATCCTGATGCTGTAAAAGCTACTCCTTCTTTAGTAGAGCTTATAGCAAAAGTTAAAAGTATTGTAACTTTATCCAAACAAAGTGTTGTAGCTGCAGATGAGTTAAGGTGCTTACAATTTTTAGAAGGAAAAACGGAAGGAAATGCATTGAAGTTAATTCAAGAAGTTCCTACTAGGTGGAACTCAACGTTTTATATGATTGAACGGTTTTTAAAGTTAAAAGATTACATTAATAATATGTTATTAAAATGCCCAAAAGCGCCTGATATGATAGTCCGGGACGAACTAGAAACGTTGCAAGAAATAGTCCATATTTTAAAACCAATAGAATACGTTACAAATACTATTAGTGGTGATACTTACGCGACTAGCAGTCTCGTGATACCGTTAGTCCATTATATGATGCTTACTGTTAAAAAGTGTGATCCGATTACTGATACGGGAGTTCAGTTTAAAGAAAACATTCTTACGCAATTAAATAAAAGATTTCAACACATCGAATCTGTTTCCCATTTAGCAATTGCGACATTGATGGACCCCCGATTTAAGAAAACTCATTTTGAAATTCCGTTAGCACTAAGTTCAGCTATACAACATATTCAGAATATGATTGAAATCGATTTAAGTATTCAGACTAACAAAAATACTGAAATTGAGGCAAGTGTAATTGAAAGAGATAAACCATCAAATCATTTTTGGAAGATTCATGAAGAAATCGTAGCTTTAAAACGACTAGTTCATCAGGATATACAAGATAATAACATTGAACTAAAAAAATATTTATCGCAACCGGTTATTCAAACATCAGCTGATCCAATAGAATATTGGGAAATGTCCAAACATATTTTTCCAACGTTGTATCCAATCGCTGTAAAATATTTATCCGTGGTAGTAACGTCAGTTCCTGCGGAACGTCTGTTTTCAAAGGCCGGGAATATAAAAAACAATTTGAAAAATCGTTTAACCGGCAAACGTTTATCGACATTATTATTTTTAAGTAGTGTAGGAGAAGACGATTGGTACATGTGAGATGTGACTGTAAATAACGATACAGTACTCTGATACAGATTTCTTCTTTTATTTTGTGATAATAATAATTTAAAAAATTGTTTTTCGTAGGTATATAAAATTGTATTCTATTTCTTCTTTTATTTTGTGATAAAAATAATTTAAAAAATTGTTTTTCGTAGGTACATAAAATTGTACCCTATTTCTTCATTTATTTTGTGATAAAAATAATTTAAAAAATTGTTTTTCGTAGGTACATAAAATTGTACTCTATTCTTCCTTCTTTTATTTTGTAATAAAAATAATTTTAAAAATTGTAATTCAATATATTTTTAAAAATTTATAATAAAAAAAACAATAAAATTTAATAATCAGTTTTTTTTTTAATCATCGGTTTTACCGGCATCGATGTTTTCTCCTACGATGAATCGGTTAATCAAAAATCGGGTTGGATCATAATCGATTATTATAGAATCGATGCTTTTCTTGTACATCGCCCATCCCTTTCTCGTTGACTCGCTGTTGTGTCGTATAGCTGTAGCTCGTAGTTTCACCGAATGAAGCGTCAAGCGACTGAAATGTTTTCTCGGCGTGTATCAAGAGGTATGTATAGAGGACATTTTAGATAATTTTAAGCCTAACATAAAAATAAGTAATTTTTCGGTCAAATTCAATTTTATTTTTGCATATAATCTCCTTTTAAGTCGATACATTTTTTTCAGCGATGTTCCCACCCCTTTAATCCATTCAAATAATACTGAGAGTCTTGCTTTGCAAAATAGGCATCTACGGATGCGATGACCTCCTCGTTCGATAAAAATTTCTGTCCTCCGAGCCAAACTTTGAGCCTAGGAAACAGAAAAAAGTCGCTGGGGGCCAGATCTGGTGAATACGGTGGATGGTCAATTAATTCGAATCGCAATTCGTGAATTTTTACCATAGCGACCGTCAAAGTGTGAGACGGTGCGTTATCTTGATGGAACTAGTGTTCCTATAATAAGAGTTAGAACAATGTAATCCCAACTTTTGATTGGCTGGCGAAATCCGCCATATGTAATAGCCTACCGCAAATTTCAAGTAGCAGAAATTCACATTTTTAATATAGCCATTTGATGTAAGAATAAATTGAAGTTATAATGCCCGGGTGTGCAGCTCTAGAATGCTTTAATTCATCTACCAAAAATTTTTAAATGTGTTATTTTCCTACAAAAGACGTTGAAAGATGTGCTGTTTGGATAAATAATATGAATCGAAAAAATTGGACACCCACTAAATTTTCAGCGCTTTGTGAAGTAAATTAAATAAATTTAAAACATATAAATTAATAAAATAAAACATTTATTTACAAAATAAAACATTTCGTGCTTTAGACTTATTTTGAACTAGAAGCGTGGGAACAGCAGAGAACGGACGGGTTAAAAAAACTTAAAAGAAATGCTGTACCAACTGTATTCAAAAGTGAGTGATAATGAATTAATAATAATCAAATTTTTAATAATTTTGACAATAATAATTTTTAATAATAAATTAAAAATAAAATAAGTTAAAATTTTAAAAACAAATATTAATACTAATCTCAATAATAACAAT